CGAGCTTAAAATCCAATGTCGTGATTCGTTTTTGCGGTTGTAATATCGCGCGATTTTAAAATTATGCATCTTGATCTAAAAATTACGCATCATGATTTGTATTTTCGCATTTTTTAAATTCGATGTAGAGTTTTATATGCACGTGATTTAAAAGCCTCATATCGGGACTTATAATCACATGGATTACAAGTTTAAACAAAAATTAGACAAAAAAAGTGCGATTTATTTATATATATATATATATTTTTTTTTGGATTTCCTCTTTTTTACTACTCTCATCCCTGAAAGAAAGACAGTATGACTTATTTGTTCATTTTCAGGCACAAGAGCATGTGGCTGCATAAGATCATACTTCCAACGCTATTGGTTTGTGCTAAACTAAATTGCGTGGTCCAATCAAAAACTTAAACTTAGAAAGAAATATAGCTTGAAATTTTCTTCTTAAAATTATATAATAGGTTATATTATTTTATTAGAGATTATTATTGCACATTAACCCTGTAAACTATTTGCTAAGTTTTTACAGATCATTTTGATTAATATAGTAAAAAATTCAATATAAAATTACAATTACGTAGGTTCTTACATACCTTTAGATGCCAATAATGGAAATTTGAAAAAAGCTTTATTTGGATTTCATTTTATTTTTTTAATTTTCTCCCAGGCATTAAAAAAAATCTTATATCTTTAACCCAACCTTAAATAAAATAAAATTAAATGAATTCAGAGTAAAAATTAAAGTTAAATTTTACTTTAGTTTCTCTACAGCAGTAAATACCTTTAAATTCAACCTGGAAGAAATTAAGATAGTATTATATTTAAAAATTCAAATCTTGAAATTTTCATTTGAAAAATAATACTAATTCATTTGAAATTATTTTATTTGGAAAATAATATTTATACATGTATTATTAATGAACAAAAAAGCAAAATCAAAAGAAATTACTTTCACAAGAATAGACAGAAAATTCCCTCCAGCAATTCAAGAATCACAAAGGGGAGTTTTACAATGTAATTAGCCTATAAAAATATTTACAATCAGTATTTAATATTTACTCTCCCAGAATTGATAATTTAATATTTACTACTCTATAAGTTAAAATAGAAAAAAGCTTATAACTGAAAGGAAAATATTTAGCTATAATTTTATAGCAAGAACAAAAAAAAAAATCTGTTAATTTTCAAAACATTATCTAAAAGAAATGTAAACTCTAATAGGTCTTAAAACAAATTTTAAGTCAAAAAGATAAAATTATTTTCACGATTGCAGGTAATTATAATTTTATGATGGTAACACCTGAGGAAATAAAGTTTTAAATAATTTCTTTGATATTTTTGAAAAATCTTAATATCAGTCGATAGATATGCATAATGTAGAGATGAACTCAGCAGGGAAAAAAATTTCACACCTCATTCTACCCCATAGTCTAATTTTTCTGAAAAACTATTTAGTAAATTCTACATTATTAAAAATCTAGTAAAGGAAGCTGAAAAAATTGATAAAAAAGGTTTGAGAAGAAATTAGAAGGCATTCAATCTCGGCCGACTCTTGCAAAGTTACAATACAAGTAACACTATGGAGGATGCTGTGATAGATTTGTCCTATATTTAAATCTTGCATATCCATTTCTAATAAACTTCCATATCAGACAAAGATACTAAATTTAAAGAAATACATGCCGGTAAGTACTATAATCAATATAGAGTATTATAAAAATCTATAGTGGTGGTCAAATTAAATTATAAAACAAATTAGTTAGCATTTTTTAATTTAGTTTATGCAGATATATATATTTAAAATATATAATTTAAAAAATATATATAAATAAAATATATATATTATATATTTTTTATTACATATTTTAAAAAAAAAGCAGTCACCAAAAAAAAAAAAATCAGAAACAGATGTCTTTACTTGCGCCAAGAGACTTTACATTGGCGACTTTATCCAATGCTCCAGCAAAATTGAAAATTAGCATAATTAGCACATAAATTTTGATACCCCCTTTAAAAAAAATCTTAAATAAAGCAATTATGCTATTAAAAGGCAATAGTAGAAACTTAATTAAAATGCATGACTATACTTATCAACTCAGTTGCTTTTATGATTATTCTTTTTTTAAAGCAAAAAAATAAATGTCTTCTTTGTATAAGATTTATTATTGACATTGCATGAATAAAGTTTCCATCTAGTATGAACAATACAGTGTTATTTAATTTAACATCTTATATGCGGGAATGATTTATCATAAAAACTACAAAGACTCTTCTCCAGCGTAAGCAACTAAATGACAATTTAAACTGTGTTCATATAGCATATTACACTACAAAAGGTTTCTCTTCGGCATGAAGAAGAGCATGGTGTTTTCTTAAATAAGATTTCCTTGAAAATGCCATATCACACACGGTACACTCATAAGGCTTCTCTCCAGTATGAATAACATAATGAAGAATTAAATCGTATTTCCGGGTGAAAGATTTGTTACACTCGCTACACGAAAAAGGTTTCTCTCGAGTATGAACACGGTTGTGATCTTTTAAATGACCTTTCCTTGAAAATGTTTTATCGCAAACAGAGCATGAAAAAGGTTTTTCTCCACTATGAACAAGAGTATGTTTATTTAAATTAGATCTCTTTGTGAAAGATTTATTACACACACTACATGAAAAAGGTTTTTCTCCTGTATGAACAACATAATGTTGATTTAAATCTGGTTTTCGTGTGAAAGACCTACCGCATACTGTGCATGTAAAAGGTTTTACACCAGCATGAACAAGTAAATGATTATCTAAATGAGTTTTCCTAGTGAATGTTTTCTCACACAAATTGCATGCATGAGGTTTCTCTCCAGTATGAACAAGAGAATGTTTATATAAATAAGTTTTCCGTGAGAATGCTTTATTGCACACATTGCACGAAAAAGGCTTCTCGGCACTATGGACTGTATAATGTCGATCTAACTCTGCTTTACGCATGAAAGAACTATTACAAATACTGCATGAATAAGGTCTATTTCCATTATGAACAGAATAATGTTGATTTAAATCAGATTTAGACATGAAAGAACTACTACACTCAGTACATTCATATGGTGTTTCACCAGTATGTACGAGAGAATGCTCGTTTAAACGAGCTTTCCTAGAGAATGTTTTATCGCAAACATTGCACGAAAAAGGTTTCTCTCCGGTATGAACTAGATAGTGTCCATTTAAATGAGTTTTCCGTGCGAATGTCTTATCACACACGCTGCATGAGAAAGGTTTCGCTCCTGAATGAATTAGAGAGTGTTCAATTAAATCAGAATTCCGTCTGAAAGATTTATCACACACTGTACATGAATAAGGTTTCTGTCCAGTATGAGTAAGAGAATGTTCATTTAAATTACATTTCTTTGAGAAAGATCTATTACACACATCGCATGAATAAGGTTTCTCTCCAGTATGAACAAAAGAATGTGCATTTAATTGTGCTTTCAATAAGAATGTTTTATTGCACACACTGCATGAAAAATGCTTCTCTCCAATATGAATAAGAGAGTGTTTATTTAAGCTAGATTTCTGAGTAAAAGACTTATCACATACATTGCAAGAAAAAGGCTTTTCTCCAGTATGGACAACAGAATGTTTTGTTAAGTTAGATTTTTTAGTGAAAGATTTATCACACACATTGCATGAATAAGATTTCTCCTCATTACGAACAAGAGAGTGTTCATTTAAATTATTCTGATCTGTATTAGAATTTTCACACATACTGTGTGGATAAGGTTTCTCACACAGAGTAAACAAGCGAATGTTTCTATAAACTCAATTTCTCTCTGAATGTTAAAGTACTTGTGTGAATGAATTTTTTTACCAGCAAGAAGACTATTATTATTGGTGGTTGAGTTGATTCAATTAAGAGGACGATTATTGTATATTTTTATTCAACACACATTAGGTAAAGGTGCGCATCAATCACGAAAAACAAAGGAAATAAACCACTAATAGGATGATCATTACTTTCAATAATTTAAATCAGGTCAAAACGAAACTTTGACCAAAACAAAAAGTCTACGGGCGTCGCGATCAATGGTATAGATTATAGGAACCCGCAAAGGGAAGTGAAGTATCTTTTTTTCTTGTGGCAACGAAAAATCCAGTTTTTTCTTTGTGGCATAAAATAATTCGATTACAGTTATTTTTATTATCCTGGAATATTTTCAATTCTTAATTGCAACACTGTCAGCGGTCAGTGTGTGGGTGGGTGACCACTTGGTTCAGTCTGCGTCAGGACCGAGGGTGTGCGGTATTGGTCCTCGTTAAGCTGTTCTACCGTAAAGTGCTCGACTTCGCGTGCAGGTCGTCGGGCTATCAAAGCGGGGGGTGGTATCCCCAGTGCAGAAGATCAAAATCGTGATGGTATGTCTTCGGATCATCCTTAGGGATGTTTCCCAGACAGTCACCAATAGCTCATTGTGCAGCTCTAGAGTGACGTAAATAAAGCACCTATCGACCTACCTTACTGACCCTCAGCCAGATATGCTTGACTTCGGTGTTCTACTAGGAACCGTGTCTTTACGACCAGTCCACTGCTGGACTGAAATTAATTGGCAAACGAAGTGGGCTGTGGGGGCGGAGTTGTCGACAATGCCAATCTTCATCTATCAAAAGTTACCTCGTGATTGAATCAAGTTAGCATGTCTTATATATCAGTGAATTGATGTTTAATACTCGTAGTGGTAGTTGCACCACAGGGCTATAGGTGGCTAACAACAGCAACAACAATTCTTAATTTTTAAAAATAATTATATTTAATGTTTTGGTACCACCATATTTCATATTTTTCAAACAAGTTTTTCCATAAAAAATACATTATTATGACTACGAGTGATGTTTTATAATTATTAATCTCATTCCATTAATTTAGAGAAGTCAAGCGTAAAATTTATCACAAAAGTTAATTTCTACTTGATAAATTTTAACCCGCTGATTGTTGTTAAATAATATATTAATATATATATATATATCAAATTTCTATTTATGCTCTAANTATATATATATATATATTAAAAATAATATATTTAACTAACTCATAAATAACGAATTGAGTTTTGTTTATTTTTGATTAACAATGTGCTTAGTTTTAATTTAAATGGACTCTTCTTACTGTTTCAATTCCTGGAGTAAAAAATAAAGAAGTTCTGAAGTAATTAAATAGTATGCGAAAAAAATCTGGCGCATAAAAGTTTTCTTAAAATTAAGAAGTCAAAGGTGCAAGGTGTAAATTTTAAAATTATCATATAAGTTACAGATTATATAAAAGTAAAAAAAAAATTTAAAAAAAATATGCGAAAAAATATTTTCTTGCATTTTAAAACATTCCGAAATGCCGAACTTAAGGAAACATGGAACGCCAAAATATAGCAAAATAAAAAAATTATTTTGAGTGGAGATGCACTTAACTGTTATTTATGAAAGAGTCGTTTAAGGATTCGTATATTTGAAACAAAACTTTTCAATTTAAATTTACCTGTAATTTTCCAAAATTAAAAAAAATATAATTAAATTAAAAAGTTTGGAAAACAACTGCTAATAAGTTCGGTTGAGCAAGTAATAATAAAATATTTTGATTTGTGTGAAACAGAAGAAACACTATTGAAGAAAGTGAAACTTTTACTGTTAAAATAATTATTTTCCACTAAAATTCAAAACGACGATCATTTTCATAAAATAATATTACAATATAAAACTAGCAAAGCATTCATACTTTTGAAAAACTTTTAGACGTGAAATAAAACAAATTTAAGCATTGTTTGTCTTGTTTAAATATATGTAAGAACAAATACTAGATATCATTAGAGTTAAAATTTTTGTTATTTAGAAAAACTAGTAAAAAAGCAGTTTAGCGATATTTCTAAAAGAAAAAAAATAATAATAATAATAACAATGTTGAAGCTTATGTTTTTTACTCTTATTTATTATTAACGATAGCTTACTTTTATTTTAGTGAAATTTCATAAATATTTATACTCGAAAGAAAAAAAACGCCGATGCATTAGATGATATTAATAAAAAAGGAATTTAAGTCACTCTTGGCCATTTTAACGGTAGTAAGCTATAATTTTAAATGAATATTAATTAGATGAATATTAATCTAATTCTAAATGAATATTAATGCTCATGCTTCATATGGTATGAATCTTTCTAAGACAGATAAATTGTTTTTGTTGTGTATTTTATGATGTTATGATGATGTCTTAAATAATTTTTTACTACTTTATAAGTTAGTTATTAGATTTTGTAATTTAATTCGTCACATAATAATTTAATGCGTCACATTAACCAAAGATTGTCAAAAGTATTGAAATATAATTCATTGCTTGAATTAAATTTTCAAATAACACTCTGAAAAATAGTCATGTCTTTGCACGTTTTTATAAAGTTTTGTGCATTTTTTGGAGAAAAAAAAAGGGCAGTTGTTTTACTTGAAAAAAAAAAACTTTTTCACATGTGCTTTTTTGGTGTTTAAATGTAATTTAAATCCAGAGTTCTGTCATTTTTTTTCAGAATCAGCCCAATATACTTCATAAAATAGTGCGATGAATAAGAATTTCAAAAATTATCAAACCTTTCAAAGCACGTTATATGCGTGTATTGCATTCGATATATATGTATAGATATTTTTTCTTTTCTAAATTTTCTATTTTAATTTTTTTTTCTAAAAATTACAATTTGACAAAAACTTGTGGACAATTTAAAATGCAGTTCATAAAAAATATTCAATATTTTCTTGTCTTTCATCGTGCATAATTTTTTTAATTATTGAACAAATTCTGCTCAGAATATTATACTAATAATTTTCTATTGGAATCTCTATTTTGCGATATTTTTTTAACAAATTTTATAAGAAAGATTGTCATCAATAAATTTCTATGTTAGGAAAACTTAAGATTTGAAAATACTTTACTTTTTTATAATGATGAACAAAAAATAAAAAAAGCTATATTTAATTTTGAAAATAAATACTTTTTTAAACTTTTACAATCTCAATGATCGAAATAATTTGCTAAATTATTTATAATTCATTTATTATTATTACTTAATAATTATTATTATTTTATAACTATTATTATTTAAATATACTTAGATAAATTATTTTGTCCCATTTTTACATTATATGCTACGTTTATTTGTAAATAATTGCAGTGTTGATGTTTATATTATTTCCACTTGTAATTTAAATGTATATCATATGATTCTGAACAATTCCTTAGAACCTATTTTTAAATAGAAATTTTATGAATGTGCCAATAAAATTTTCATTTCATTATTTGTCTTTTTTCTGCCATGATATAACATATTTTTTATTTCTTTCGTATTCGTTTCCTCATTAAAATGTATAATTTCTTATTTTCAAATATATGATTAAATCCAATATTTGATTACATATTAGAAAATAATAAATTTTACACTTAAATGAAATTTATTCTTTTGATATTAAAAATAGTTACGATGAATCATGATTTAAAACTAAAAGGAAGAATTCCTTATTAAATCATTTTCTATTACGAGATACACATAATATTGCTTCATAAAAAGCATCAAACAGTTCTACATGTTGATTTTATTGAATTATAGCGTGATAAATAACACTGATTTATTCTAATAAAAAGTTAAAAATTCACCACTTGAAAATACTTAAGTGCTATTAAATTAGTTAAAGCAAAAATATTTGACGTCGAGAAATTTGAACTATTTTACAGTTTTCTGTTAATACAAATCTGTTCGCTAGTACATCCAGCCCCAGTACTTCCGAGGATGACGTCATGTGTAAAATTACAAAATATACCTCCACAAACATAAACATATAAACTTGAGGTTGAAACATAATAACCTGAGGTAGAACATAAAACACCTCACGTTAGTAAAAATTACCTTTACAACTATCAAAAAATACACTAGAGGTAGATAGATATAATAAACGAAGAAATAATAAAAAATTTTGTAACTTCAAAAACAAATAAATAAGAAAGAGAGAGAAAAGTAAAAAAATAATTTGATCTTTACCTGTAGCTGGATGAGAGGGGAAAAAATACACGTAGTCGGCAGGATTCGAACCTGCGCGGGAAGATCCCAATGGATTTCTAGTCCATCGCCTTAACCACTCGGCCACGACTACTTGGTCACAAGAATCTTTGCAATAAACAACAATGCTCGAATTTATCTGTATTTTTTTTTATATCAGAAATTACGATTAATTACTGAAACCAATTACACAGCATCAACAGTTAAAATCACTTTTTAGGGTCTTTTGTATAACTTTTAGAATTTTATTTTGATTGCTATGTACTTGATTCGACTCGGAATTTGTGTTTTGCTAGATTGGATGGCAACAGTCCAAAAGCTAGTCATCTTTTCAGCCATCTTGTTTATTTTCGAAATATTCTTTTATTATATTTTTATTTATTATATTTTTTTATATTATTATTTTATGATGTTTTGCATTATAATTCTAACATTACAATGTTAATTACACGTTAGGTTGTTGAATAAATACTTCCACAGGCGTAAAAAAAACATTATTCAGGTTGATAAGTAATAACTTATGGTTGAAAATGAAACACCTTAAAGTACTTAAGTACCTACTTCTCCACAGATGTAAGATGAAACACCCCAGGTTGATACATATATACCTCTGGAGGTATATTTTAGGTATTCATTTGCATCCTTTTCTACCTAACGACGCAGTTAGATAACAACCTCATTCATACCTCAATTTTTTCGTAAGGGGATACTACCCAAAAATTACAAACAATGCTATTTTACACAAATATAGCCAAATAAGGGATAACACTAAAAACAGGACTAACTTTACACTTTATTTATGCTGAGATATTAATTTCGCTAAATTTGTTTCAGGCTCTTGACTAGGACTGGGCTATAAATCGATGTATCGAGACATATCGATTTAACGCATATATCGGCAAGACGATACAGCGACTTTCATTCAAGGCGATGCATCAGAAATCTGATTTAAGCCATCGAGCAAAGACAACGAGCGCAAAACGATATAGCGATATAAGACACGCAAGGATATAAGATAACGATATAGCGATATAAGACTCTTCTCTTACGTTCCGATGTCGACTCGCG